TGTTTTGTACGTCAAGCTTATATAGTAGCCGTTACAACCCCAATGTTGCCACCCTGGCATTTAAATTTGAAATAAGAATAATTCTAAAAACTTTTAAAATGAAACGACCGTTGGAATCATCTTCCTCATTAAGAAACCTCTCTCTCTCTCTCCCTCTCTCAGCTGATTCAGTTGATCTGCTCTCGTTTACATATTTCCTTATCGGGGAGCCATAAATTTCGACAATGGCGGCCGATCTCGTGTTCACGAATGAAGAAATGGCAATTGATGAAGGGCTTGGGTACCCGAAAGCCTACGCAAAGCTGTGTAGAGACCGCAGCTTCGGTCCGTACAGCAATGGCCCTCCTTTCACTTTCACTCCCTATGCTCTTCCACAAGAAGAGGTAAGAGAAAATCCCTAAATTGATGATTGACAGTATGTTTGGTTGCTGGGAAAAAAGGAGGAAAATGACGGGAAAATGAGAATTTGAGTTTTGTGTTGTGGCGTAGTCAGAATTTTCAGAACATGAAGAATTCAAGTTCACCGAAGACATATGTTCACCGAACATGAAGAACATGATGTTTTGGTTTCTTGGGTCGTTTTTGCTTATTACATTTTTTTCACAGCAAACAAACCGAGGGTTTGATTCTTTTTATGCTTTCAAGTCTGACATTTCTTTGAATTTCATGGGTATTTTCCGGTCTTTGAGTGTTTGATTAACTATACTGCCTTCACGAGTTTGAATTTCTCGCCAGATGGCGTAAAATTTTATTGATCAGGGGATTTGTTTGACCTCTATTTTCCAGATCTTAAGTTTTACTGAATTGATATGCAAATTCTACTTTGCTGAGTCCTGAATTTGATGTTTGGATAGTGTTAAACAGCTCTGTCTCTGACTCTCTTCTTCAGCTTCTGCATTCTGATACTTGTAGAAATTGAAGTTCAGGCTTATTTATTTTCTTTGCCGAAACTTTTTTTCACCAACCAAACACAAATTACCGGTGGCTTGACTGGAAATTGAATCCATAGAAAACTTTGTTTATTCTTTGTTGACTGCCGTAGACCTACCTTGTTGTAGGTTTGCAGGGCAAAGGAATTAGATGAGATGTTCCCAATTATAGATCCAAAAGCAAAACCCACTGCCAAGCCCAAGATTTATGCAAGTCTTCTGTGGAAGCAACTCAACCATCTCGGGTAAGCAATCAAATTGTGATGTAGAGCTTCTAGAGTGGAAGAAATTGTAATAAATCAGCTTCTAACTCTTATGGCTTTTTGGAATTTTAGGAATGCTGGGTTTGATCCTGTGATTTTTCGAGTAGACCCAAATGGCAATGTTCTTTATTACCATGCCGATTCAGCTTCGCCTCTTGCTTGGGACATTGATCACTGGTTCCCTTGCTCAAGTAAATATGAATTCTATCTATCAATATCTATAAATCTCTCCGAGGTTGAGATCCTCCCTATTGTACTTTCACTCAATTTCTCCCAATGGTAAATCACCTATCAAGTGCTCAAGTGAGACACACTATTTATAAGTGGCTCTTCAACCATACTCACCGAGTGATCTACCATTATGTGAAATTGAAAGTAAGTGTAACGGAAGAGATCGTGATCCTTGTCTCTGTCTGTATCGTAGTACTAGTGACTTTTTGGTTCCTTTTATGTTGGAAATGCAGGGGGAGGACTGACTGTACCAAGCAATCTAAGGATACTACAGTGGCAAGTGTGCAAGAAGAAGCATAACACGCTGGAATTTCTCATTCCATGGTGGGATCTCCAAGTGGGTATATCAGTAAACCAGTTCTTGTCCATTTTTAGTTCTTCAAACTCAGATTTCAGGTTGGGCATTTTCTTTTCCTATCCTCTGATTACTTTTTTATTCGAGATACACAGTTGTAGTGGGTGATTTTTTTTTTTTTTTTTTTTTCACAATTTGGCAGGCAGAGGGCATTTTCATTGTTGTTTTCAGATGGTGAAAGTGAAGAACTGAATGATTCACAAACAGCAAACTCGCATAATTTCCCTCGACATTTTAGTGAAGCAAAAGAAAAATTAGGCCTTGCTCCGGCTGCCATTGTTCTATCTCGAAGGGAATCTTATGATTCTTCATCAGCTTTGAAATCCCTGGATATCAACAGAAGGCCAAGGTCGAACTCCCCTATATTAGGTTTGTAAAGAAGATCAAATACTTGAATCTGTTTGAGAACTGTTTGAAACTTGACTGGCCACAAATTTTTTCTTATTTTCTGTTGTTTTCAAATGGTTGTGTGGCAGCTGCAAGAAAATTAAAAGCAGGTGCGTCAAAAGAAAACGAAGACCCAGACATGGTTAGCAACCCTTATCAGGCCATTGTCATGGCTAGAGATTCTCTCAGACAAAGAGAAGGAACAGCTAAGATGCAGGCAGAAATTCAGAAATTGGATGATGAAGTGAGTGAGTTGAAGCAAAAGACAGAAGAGGAGAAACTTACCATCCAAGACTTGGAGTTGGTGCTTATAAAACGAAGAAGACATGCTGAAAAGCATCGCAGGCTAGCAGAGTCACAATCCTCATATAGAGCAATCCTGGAAAAGATGATTCGAGACGCCATGCACCAGTATGATTATAAAAGCCATGTTTTGTGTCAGAATACTGATCAATGACAGTTTGTGGTGGAATTCAGTAATTTGATTATTGCTACAATTTTTCTTGCAGGAGTGTCATTTATAAGGAACAATTGAGGTTGAATCAGGCAGCATCCAATGCTCTCATCGCAAGACTTGAAGCTCAGAAGGCAATTTGCGATTCCTCAGAGAGAGAACTCCACACAAAGTTTAAACAAAGGGATGAGCTTGAGAAACAGATAAGACCCGAATGGGAGCAAGCAAGGAAGAGATCCAGAATGGATGATTTCTTATTCGAAGAGAAAGATGACAGGACAGTTTTATATTTGCCAGCAAGCAAGCCAAGAACACATCTACATAAGGCAACAGATGATCCTACAATGGGAAAGAAAGATGGTAAGACTGTCCTGTTTTTACCTGGAATCAAGTCGATTACCCCATTACACAAGGAATTGAGAGTGTTCTTGGAAGAGGAGCATAAAGCATCTGAAGCAGGCCTATCTCCAAATGAACAGCAAGAGCAAGAAGAAATAGAAGAGAGAGGGAAAGGGGCACCGACCGATATTAGCAGAGGTAAGCCTGATGAGAACGGTAAATCCAGGGATACTGAGAAGGATGAAAACAAAATAAAGGAAAATTTTCAAAAGTTGGAATTAGAAGGCAATATATACAACATTCAATTTCCGGCCCTTCATCAACCAGAACCAGTGGAGGATGAAGAAAGCAGAAAGCAGCGTGGGAAAGGAAATGTAGAGAAGTGGCTTCAAATGCTGTTGGAGAATACACAAGAAGGCACTGACCAAATTCCTCAACTAGTTGAGGAAAATGAAACTAGCAGGACTGATGAAATAATCAGAAAGATGAATCTCAAATACCCGCGAAATGAGAATGAAATTTTAAAATTTCCAGAATCGGAAGACAAAGGTGTGAAACAGGATCTTGAGGAAAACAACCAGCAAACAATACAAGAGAAGAATAACGGTGGGAAACAGAAAGAAGAGATTGTTGAGATGGAAGCTGTGGCACTCTTAAACAACCAGCAAATGACCCCAGAAAAAGATGGTGAGGGAAGAAAAGAAGAAATTGTTGATATTGAAGCTAGAAAAACACCCTTAAAGAACCCTCCCTACCGAATATTTCCAGGGAAAAGTAATGCAAAGGAGGTCACTTCTGTGGGTAAAGGTGTGGGAAGTAGTAACAGCTTTGAAGGAAAAGAGAGAAGGGAGAAGAGCGGGAAGGAAAAGGGCCTTGTGAGGTCTGAAAGTGCCAGGTCATTCCCACGAATCCCATCTTCTCCATCTGTGTTCTTAGGTATAAGAAAGGGAGATCACAAAGGGAAGAAGCCCTTGGTAATTGATGATGATGGAGGCAATGAAGATCGTGCAGCGGGAATCAACTTCTTCAAATCATCTATCAAGACAATTAAAAAAGCAGTGAAGATGTAATTACAGTGTGTCTATGCATTCTATTCTCTTCAGTTTTCATTTTTAGTTAAAAGAGTGTTTGCTCTCTCTCACTCTTTTAGCTGAATAAGAGTGTGCAATTTAAGGTTTTTTTTGCTCAATTTGTGTGTATAATATGGATTGTGTCATATGCAATTACAGCTTCTTGTTTGATCAGAAAGTGCAGTTTCAGCTCTTCTACGACGTAGCCAACTTACCAATAGACACAAATCGGTTGGAATGGGAAGCTTTAGGACTAGGATGACTTGCTAAAGACAAATATGAACATTTGCCAACACGGATTAGGACATGGGCATAATGAAAAGCAAGGGCTTTGCATTTTTAGCTTAATCAGGATGAAGATTAGATACAAGATACGATGTGGATCTGCAACTTATACTGGATAGTGTTATATGAATGTCAGTAACTTCCCAACCAAATCAGACGAGCTCCATAAGAAACAATTGCACCACCTATAACTTCTGTAACAACTCTCACAACCAAACATGCTTTAAAAATGCTTTACTGGCTGATACAATCAAGATACTGATTAATCTATCAGGAAGAATGAATGAAAGTAATAATCTTGATTCATCAGGGACAATCAAATGATACAGAAAAACTGCTTGGGTTCTGATTATTTTGTAAATCAAAGGAAAAAAAAAACCTACTACCAGGAATTTTTCTATAGATCGTACAATCCTAAAACCAACAAACCACCTGATAAATCCTTCTAGTAATCTTTTGCTCATTCCTCCTTTTTCTGTGAGTAATGGAACATTTTCATCATGCATTGCGAGGAGATGAAGTTTCGGATGAAGTGGTGGTTGAATCACCCCCAGTTGGATTCAGGGCTGAGCCACCTACAAGTGATCCATTTCCATTTTCGTTTTCAGCCACGACTGGGATTTTCACAGCTGCTATTTCCATCTCCTTCTCAATCTCTTCCTCTCGCCGCAATGCAGTGAACTGGGTATCCAAAGACCTGGCAGCCCCTAACCATGCAAGAACAATCACAAGAAGTACACCTCCAAGGTATGGAGTTGAGTTTGCGAGTGACCCAAAAGTTAGGATCATAAACTGCTGAATTAAAGCGCCTCCAGACTTCCCCAACGGGTTGCAGACAACATCAATAGCAGCCTTCCCTTTAACCTGACCCAAGAAATGAATGGACTAAGGTCAAATTTAAAGGGCAAAAAGGAACAGCTCTGAGAAGAAAATTTGAAGTTGGTCGATTGCAATCTCAAGTTTAAACGTGAAGTTTTGTGCATCTCGTTTATGTTTAAAAAAAATCAAGTACAGAGATTTCAATTTATTTCAAGCACAACTAATATATGAAAAAAACTCCAATCTAAAACTGAATGGCAAGTTAAATTTCAAACCTTGGTGTCCTCATCCAAAGGAATATAAGCCATTTCCTTGCAAGGATCAAACAAACTGTACTTGGCACTCTTGCTGAAGATATTTTGCATTGCACCCACATATACAGCTGCTAAAAGTGGAGTCATCCCAAACTTTGTGAGAACAGGTGCAAGCGGATCACCAAACAAAATTAGAGAGAAGAAACCCACTCCTGTGAGCAGTAGGACTGTGGGTGTAATTTTGGCTGCCGTTCCCCACCCATATTTGTCAAAAATCCATTGGCTTAGCAACATCATTGTGAAAGTTGCTATTCCAGTAGCCGTCGAGAAGTCACCCATGAAGGAAGAGTACTCATTTGGGCTTGGAAACTGCACAATTAAGGGAGGGGGTGAGAAATTAACAAAAAAACTGGGAGCAGAATAAATTGTAGAATGCATAGGCTTAATTTAGTTTTACCTGAGCTTTGAGCTTCGATTTCCATGTAACCTCAACAAGGTTGATGCTAATACCATATGCTACCACCAAAGTGGCAAGATCCCTGATGTATCTTTTAGACACCAAGAATTTCAAGCTCTCCATTGTCCCCATTTTTGGTTTTTCCTGCCAAAGCATAAATGTTCTGTTACGCCAACCATCATATTACGATTAGAATTTCCTTGATGCAGTGGGATGATAGGATTAAGTCAGCTTGACTCATGGACAATAGAAAAAGGTTAGTGAAAGATTGTTTTTTTTTCCCATTAGAACTGATATTTCTGGGCACTAAAGTTACAATTTCTGGCTTCCTCATAACCAAAGAATGGACTGCCATTGAAACTAAAGTCAGTTTAAGAGTTGAGTTACAATAAGCAAGAGACAGCATATCCTCAGAGCAGCTTACCTTCTTCTTCTTACTACGAGTTGGAAGAGGGGCATTCTGATTCACCCACCAATAAAGAGCACATATTGTGAGCCCCATAAGCACCACAATGCTCATCATAGCTTTCAGGGATATGGCCCAACCATCAACACCAGGACCCAAATTTTTCCTCATATTAGAAAAGTACTTTACAGTACGACCAGAGAAAATGAGGGCAACATTAGCTCCAAGTCCAAACAGAGGATAGAATCTTTTGGCTTCCTCAACTGTAGTTATCTGCAACAGAGAGCATATAATGACAGCTAATTAGCAGTTCCACACAAAACAATAGACTAAAAAAAATCAGGGAAGTGCATGTTCAAAGTCTTCAGACCAAGAATCTAACGGAGTCGAAGAATCTCTCACAAAACTTCAACAGTGAGAAAAACTGTATAGCTAAAACATGTAAAGGCCTCCACAATTCGTCCCATGTGGTTGTCAAGATGATGATGGAGGCAAAACAAGAATTAGGAATCTAACAATTTGTAAGACAATTATCTGAAATGAAAGAATGTAAGATCCTGACGAATAGGAAAATTTACCTGCACTTGGTTGATGATACAAGATTCACATAGTCTCCTAATCAAAACAAAAGTGTCCCAAATTTGTTTAACTAAAACTAATTTTACCACGATGACACCCAAAGGCATTCTCACCAGTTATGCAAAGAACAAAATCAGTCTCATCAAATGTTCATGTATCTCTACGACTCTATGCCACAGTGACAGTACTGCTCGTATACATGTTCTTGCACCATAATCAAAGAACAAAATGCGTAACTCACTACCTTGCGAAAAAAAACTGTGTAAATCACAAAAGCATCACTTCAAACAATGTTTGTAAACATTATCTCCAAGTATTAGAGATGACATCCCAAAAGGGTTTGCGGTAATATTAAATAGCACAGACAAAAAACACAGTAGAAGACATAATTAATAGTAAAAAAAACCCTCCACCAACGGCGTCATCCTTTTCAACATACCACTATTGTCCTCTTTCTTGAGGATAGAATTCTTAAAACATCTATTTTTAATCTAATTTCTTTACGATCTATACACAGTGATGAAGTTAAACTTTCCATCCTGTTTGAAAGTTCATATACAACATTTTTACATTCAAGAATAAGAAGCAAATAAATGTTATGAAGTTACCAAAGTCATAAATAGAGTGAGCAATTCAGGAAAAGGCATACATATATAAATACTAAAATCAGTAAATCGGATCAAATTATGGATATACCATAGCTTTTAAACCATATGAAATAAGGGAAAACACTAAGAATCTCCTGACATAGATCAAAGAACTAAGGAATCGAATATAAATTTTAAGAATCACACAGACAGATCAAATTAAAACTAATACTTTAGCTGATAAGACTATCACCTGATTAGCAAGTCCCCAAAATAGCACTGATACAACCACGCTACCCCAAAGCTCAGCCATGACATAGAACAAACAGAAACTCCAGATCCTCATGATTGCAAGCGGGCCAAGGAATCTAGGACCAAGCATGGCTAGAAGCTTATCAGCAAGAGCCGTGGGGTGGAAATAATTGCTGAGAGGATACAAAACAAAACCAAATGCCCCAAAAAAGCCAATAAAGGGTACAATAACAGTATAGAAAAGAGCCTGCTTTGACAACACATTAGCCAATTTTGTATACAGCAGCATAAACCCAATAGCCATAGGCAAATTTACCCAAGTTTTCAAGAAGGGTATAATCTCAGCACTTGACCCTTTAGCTGTAACAACCAATACATCTTTGGTGTCTCTAAGAATTGTGTAATTGAAGAGTATACAAAAGAACATCAACCCAAGTGGTATAATCTTCTTGAGGGTTGTAATTTCAATGCCCATGAACTTGGGTGACTCAATTTCTCCAAATACAGGCTGTCCATCAGCTGCTGCTGCAGCCTTAGCCTTGCATATATGAAAAGTCCTGTTCTTTTGCCCAATGACATGAGGTTTGGTGACAAAGCCATGGAATTTTTGGCAACCATCGAGAGATAATGAAAACCCAGAAAGATTTTTGGGTTTTAAGGGATTTAAGGGACTGAATCTATGGCTGAGCCCCTGTGGTGGTGGGTTGAAACCCCTGGGTTTGGGGTTTGAAGGTAGAGAGAGAAGCCCTTTTGTCCGTAGAACTGCTTGCATTTTTTACCTCCCTCTCTATCTCTACAAGTACCTACAGAAACACAAAGTTCTGGTTTTTACGAGAACATGAGAGATACAGAGACGAAGAGAGGGATAAGGTAAGGAGGAGAAGATTGCTTTCTGAGACAGGTTTTGGGTATCAGATACAAATATCAGTTTTATATATATATCGCAGTGAAGAAGCAAAACCCTTATTCTGACGAAGAACAAAAAAAATAATAAGACAGAATTTGTAATGAAAATTAAGGAAGAAAATGGAATGAAAAATCTTGGTGTATAAAAGATGTCTAATTCTGATACAAATACTCAAATTTAAATTTAAGTAAAAAAACTTACTTTAACTTTTGAATCAAACTTATATAAAATTAAGAAATATTCATTTTTTCATTCAAATAAATAGTGAGATTTTAACATCTTTTAAATATTCAATAGTCATTTTTATTCTCTTTAAAATTTGAATTTATTTTTATTTAAATTTGAATTTCTCCTACTTTAAATTTGAATTTATCCATCAAAATTTTTTGTATTAAATCAAGTTTTTTATTTAAATTTTAGTCATAATTAGAGATGTTTTACGAATGGTTAGGACTTTAATCAAAAGAATTAACAATATTCTTTAATATCCCAATTGTTGTCCAGAAAAAATTAATTAGAAATTTTTCTTCCGTGAGAAAACGTGAAAAAGGAGGGAAGAGAGGAAAGTGGGAAGAAAACAGTCGGAGAGAAAAAAAAGGATCTCAAAAGCATCAACTCCTAGGCAGGGGAATCATG